TCACAGCATCATCTTTCAGGATTTGAAATAGCTCAACTGGAATTCCGTCACCTCCACTAGCTTTGTTCGTAGTGAAGCCTCCTAAGGCCCACTTGACTTCACATTCCAGGATGTTTGGCTTTAGGTGAGTGATCACACCATCATGATTATCTCTGTCGTGAAGATCTTTTTTGTACAGTTCTTCTGTGTACTCTTGCCACCCCTTCTTAATATCTTCTGCTTTTGTTAGGTCCCTACCATTTCTGTCCTTTATTGAGCCCATCTTTTCATAAAATGTTCCCTTGGTACCTCTAATTTTCTTGAAGAGATCTCTATCTAGTCTTTCCCATTCTTTTGTTTTCCTCTATTTCTTTGCATTGATCTCTGAGGAAGGCTTTCTTATCTCTCCTTTCTATTCTTTGGAACTCTGCATTCAGATGGGTATATCTTTTCTTTTATCCTTTGCCTTTAGCTTCTCTTCTTTTCTCAGTTATCTGTAAGGCCTCCTCAGACAACCATTTTGCCTTTTTGCATTTCTTTTTCTTGGGGATGGCCTTTGATCACCGCCTCCTGTAGAATGTCATGAACCTCTGTAGTTCTTCAGGCACTCTATGAGATCTAATCCCTTGAATCTTTTTGTCACTTCCACTGTATAGTAGCAAGGGATTTGATTTAGGCCATACCTGAATGGTCTAGTGGTTTTCCCTACTTTCTTTCTTCAATTTAAGTCTGAATTTGGCTGTAAGGAGTTCATGATCTGAACCACAGTCAGCTCCTGGTCTTGTTTTTGCTGACTGTATAGAGTTTCTCCATCTTTGGCTGCTGAGAATTTAGTCAATCTGATTTTGGTATTGACCATCTGGTGATGTCCGTGTGTAGAGTCTCCTCTTATGTTGTTGGAAGAGGGTGTTTGCTATGACCAGTACATTTGTGAGCCTTTGCCCTGCTTCATTTTGTACTCCAAGACCAAATTTGCCTGTTACTCCTAGTATCTCTTGACTTCCTACTTTTTCATTCCAGTCCCCTGTGATAAAAAGGACATCTGAGGTCTTGGGTCATCTTTATTATCATTACTCTGAATTCTTTTTTGGTTTGATTGCCCATCTTCATTTAACTTATTTATTCTTCTAGGATTTTATCTTGTTCCTTACTCTGGAATATATTCCTCTGCTGTCTCATTTTGTCTAACTTTGTGTGTTTACTGTCCCACAGTCTGCCGCATTGTAGTTCCTCTTGTTTCTGGTGTCTTCCCTCTGGTAGATGAGTATGGTCCGAGAGACTTGTTCAGGCTTCCTGGTGGGAGGGATTCATGCCAGCCCACTGATGGATGGAGTTGGGTCTTATCCCCCTGGCTCTGTCAAGAGGTGTGTTTATAGGTGTGTGTGTGAGCTCAGGAAGACTTTAAGCAGCCTGTCTGAAGGGCAGGGCTGTGTTGTTTGGCCTGAGGCATCTCAGCACTGTAACCTTTGGGCTGTTGGGTGGGGCTAGGTCTTGGCCTCAAAATGGTAGCCTCAAGGACTGTTCATGCAAATGAGTACTCCCCAATACCTCTGCCACCAGTGTCCTTGTTCCTGCAATGAGTCATAGCTGCCCTCTGCCTCCCCAGGACACCATCCAAAACTAGCAGGTAGGACTGGGCCAGGCTCTTATGAAGTTACTGCTTTTTCTCGTGGGCCCCAGTGTGCATGAAATCTTATGTGCAGCCTCCAAGAGTGGCATTTCTGCTTCCACCAGTTCTGTGGAGTTCCTGCGGTCAAGCCCCTCTGGCCTTCAAAGCCAAATGCGCTGGGGGCTGCTCCTCCCAATGACCAGACGCCCAGACTGGGGAACTTGACCTGGCACTTAGAATTCTCACTCCTGGGGGAGAACCTCTGTGATAAAATGATTTTCCAGTTTCTGGGTCACCACTCTGTGGGTGTGTGATTTGATTATATGGCAAATGGAACCCTCCTACCATGTTGTTGTGGCTGCTTTTTTGTCTTTGATAGTAGATTATCTTTTTTGGTAGGTTCCAGTCATTTTTCCTGATGGTTATTCAGCAGATAGTTGTGATTTTGGTGTTTTCGTGAGAAGATAAGCTCAGGTCCTTGTCTGGGGATCTCTCTGAGGGTTCTGTTAAAATGCAGATTCTGAATCTGTGGGTCTGGCGTAGGACCTGAGGATCTGTGTTTCTGCCAGGCTCCCAGAAGACGGAACTAATGTTGATCTGTGTGCTGAGCAGCGAGGTTGTAGAAAGGATAACACCAATCCTTGGAGAGGGATATGCCTTAAATGGTAGTACTGTTTACTGATTTTTTGTTAAAGGATATGATAAAGGCTACAGATGAACACCCACAGGGAACAGATGTGTAGGGCAGGATTTGGGGAGAGGGCACAGAGCTTCCATCACCTCTCTGGGCACTCCCAGTTGTTCCCTGCCTGGAACACTCCTCCCCACCCCGCCCCAAACATCACCTTATTTCTGTAATTCCACAATTCACTGAAAGGAATAGCGTTAAGAGTTTGGAACCCGAAGAGCCTTAAGAATCGACTCTGTGCATGTTTGTCCACACGTGTGCAATGCTAAATTACAAGCATCTTTATCTCACATCTTTACTAACAGTAACAGTCTTACCTATTGGTGGGAATAAGACATTCACATGCCTCTAAAACGTATGGTGCTTTTACTAAAATACTCAGTTTGGACACTACAAGTTAATCAAGTTATGTCTTAAGTTGCAGTACACCTGCCTGAATTGCTTTTTTATGCCAGTGGATAAAGTATGTGACATTCTGGGGCTAAAAAGCATGGTGGTAGGAGGAGGTGTTCCTTCTCAGAGGTGAGGAGATAGGCATCTAGAGAGGGCAGATATCCTACTCCTCCTCTCCTGTGCCTGACCCTGGGGAAGTGAACATTAAGGCTTCAGTAACAGAGGGAGAACACGATACTCCAGGAGACTTGAGGGCAGCTCTAAAGCCACTGATTGTTGCGCTCCATTGGGGCCTATTTGCAGCTTCAGAGGGCCCTTCTGCTTCACTAAGGGAGAGGAGGTTAAGAAACAGGAAAAGTAGAACTCTTTCACATTAACAAACCTGTTTAAAAAAAGTAAGAAAACAGTAAAAAAAAAAAAAAACCCCACTACTTCTCATGACTACAGATGATATTACTGAAAAACTCTTTTTAAAAGAATAACCCAATCATGGTGGTTCTTTGCTGGGTAAGAGGCCACAGTGGAAAATTCAGTCATGACTAACCAGTCCTTTCTAGTGGGGGTCCCAGCAGAACTCAAGAGTTGCCTAGTGTTGTTAACCACAGAAACCTGCATTTTGTGAAAATTTTTTTTCCCCAGAGAGATTGTGATTGTTTTTTCTTAATGATTATGGTTAATCATGTTTAGGGTAAGTTGAAAATCATCAAAATAGTATGCTGACAGCAATGTCCAGAAAGTCATTAAAACCCAGTTAATAATTGTATCTGTGGTAACATTAAGAAAATCTTGGATCAGACTCTGTTGTGGATACTTCTAGAAAAATTACTACTAATGATTTAATTGTATATTAGAAGGCAAGTTACGTTGGTTAATCTAAGGAGTATGAGTAGGGAGACCATAGAAGATAGATTGTTATGTGTTTCCATGATCCCGTTTTTTTGAGTTGGGTGAAGAATAGATGGGTTATGGTGAAAGAATAGAACTCTCTACTTTTTCCTTATCATTAATGGGTCTCTTTCAAAATTTTAAGGATGACAACCTAATGATAGGCTGTGGATAATGAGAGTTCTTTTTTTCGGGTCTCTTGCTTCTGATCGTAGCGAGAGCTGGTTGAGGGTTACAGTCTTTGGTGTCCACCTCAAGAGGTTACAGAGACCCCCCTCTTCCCAGGGTCATGGTACTTGCTTCACAACCCCCTGGCTGCCAGTCGTGGAACACACAAGTGTGGTACTCCTTGGGATTGTCACCATGGCAACCCACATGCAAAAATATAAATCAAAGCAAAAATCTTCATTAAGTAGAAATAAAACCTGTGGTATCTTTTTGTTTGTTTTTTTTTAGTTTAAAGGCAGTTCTAAACAGAATGTCAACCGAGATTACATCACAAAAACTTTAAATGTATTTACAGAGTGAATAAGTTACATAGATAAACTTTGAATATGTTTCTGATGTGCAACAGGTTTACATGCACACAGCTAACACTTGACAGCATTAAATTTAAGGAGAAAACTTAAGAATGGCCCTTTACATATATATTACAAATAAAATGACATTTCTTAAGAAACAGTGACAACTCATATTTTACCTTTATGTCCTATTTCTGGCTATCATGTGGATATTAAAATATGCATGCGTAACAGGTGGAAAGACTTGGAATTTATAATGTGGATGTCTTTAACTTTTTTCTACAAAATGGCAAAGTTGGTTAAAATTAACACTCATCCTTCTGTAGTATAAATATGTTCATAAAAGCAACATTCTAGTAAAAAGCAGCCAAGATCCTTCAAAAAAGGTCTATCTGGACCATTTTTGGTGCGAGGGTCTTAATCACAGACCCCTGCAAAGAGATCCAGGGCTTTCTGAGACAGTAGCCTAGCAACATAAGAAAGGTACTTCATAGCAGCTCCTTTTAGATACAGTAATGGTATTCAAATTTCAGTGTACATTAAATTGTCCATTTACAATTCCCTTTTCACATACACAGGCTGTCAGCTTTTGACCGTCTTACAGTTTTCAGTGGCCAGCTTCATTCTGCCTGCTCCTTCCTCAGCTCACCTCACACACACACACACAAAAAAAGCAAAAAAGGAAAAAGAATGTACAAGTTTTAGAATATAAAATATTTAGTGAAGAAAACATTGCACTTTTGCCAATCTAAAATTGTTTCTAGAAAGGAAGGTATTGTTCAGAGTAGTTGGCTTTGGTATGCAATGGAAGTCACATCTTCAGTAGTGAGTTGCATTTGCTCAGTAAAAGGATAACGTGTTTGTGCCACACAGAATGATGGGTGGAGGCTGTTCCAAAACCGTCCTATGCTACCTTGGTTCTTAGAGTATTGCTACATGTGGGAAGTTCTGCCATCCTCTTTATGAAAAGTCCTACAGGTAACAAGAGGGAGAACAGTCTGACCAAGCCTTTTGAAGGCTGAGAAGACACTGAATGATGTCACCCCAGCATGGCAGCACCCCCAGCTTGGCACCCATGGGGGATGGGAGGCTCCTGTCAGAGACTAGTGCCGGAAACGCTGGAATCTGGAAGAAAGGTGGTGAGGACCCGGTAGCTCTGGGCCCGGCGGATCATGTCCCGGATCTCCATGTTCAACTCCATCAGCTTGGTGCAGATCTCAGTCAGGCTCTGGTTAGACCCCACCAACGCGTACGTGCCCGTCTGTCCCAGAGTTTGATGACGGAAATAAATATTCAGTAGTGTCTGGACCTCGTCGTCAGAACTGCTTCCAAAGATGTCATTGGGCCACAGACTTCTGCAGGCAGAAAAGAGCAGCAGAGGTTAGAGGCACTGTTAATTTATAAGGTTGAGTCTTTATTAGTACAAGAAAACTACTTTCTGAATACAAAAGCTTTTATTGAGATAAAATTCATACACTATACAATCTAGCTATCCAAAATATAATCCTGTGGCTTTTTTGGTTAATATTCAGAGTTGTATAAACATCACTATAATCAGTTTTAGAATATTAATTATTATTGGTTTTGATAAAATCGAAAGTATAAAAATATCAGAATAGGGGGTTTTCTAGTGGTTAAGACTCTGAACTTCCACTGCAGGGGGGCATAGGTTTGATTCCTGGTTGAGTTAGATCCCACATGCCACACTGTGTGGCCAAAAAAAAAAAAAAAGCCAGAATGGAATCCTATAATCATAAAACATTTATTTGCTATAGCATTGTGGTTACAGTGAATGTGACTATACTATCAAAATATAGGGAGAAAGTCTCAAAAAGGATACATTCAAAAAATTAGTTTTAAAATTATTTTGGAGCATACTTTGAAGTGTTTAAACATTTTAGAGATGACAGATAACTAGAACCAACACTAATATTTCAGACAATAAGTTCTGAAACCTGATGTTTCTGTCATGGTAATGGGGGAAGGATCTGAGGAGGATTTATATAAACATCTCAATGTTCCTTCCATAGTGATTTAGTCCCTAGCCCTGACAAAGTGACTGTTAGGCATGCATTTCTTTTAACCATCTCTAACTAGTGGGCTCCCCAGGTGGCACTAGTGGTAAAGAACCCGCCTGCCAATACAGGAGACTTAAGAGATACAGGTTTGATCCCTGGGTCGGGAAGATCCCCTGGAGGAGGGCATGGCAACCCACTCCAGTATGCTTGCCTGAGAAACGCCATGGACACAGGAGCCTGGAAAGCTACAAGTTCATGGGGCCAAAGAGTCAGACATGACTTAGTGATGAAACAACAATACAAATAGTCGTGTTACCTGCATTCCCTTATTTGCCGTAAAGCCTTGCCAAGTTCGTTGTTCTTCAAGCACTCAAGCATGGACTGGATGGCTGCCTCAGTGGATGTGAAGGTTGGCTCGGACCACGCCCCCTCGACGTAAAGAGGGTCAGCTGCAATGGCTGCAGTGGCCTCCTTCAGGTTTTTCTTTAGGTCACTCAGTTCCCTGGACATATTTAGCAGCTGTTAAAAAAAAAAGTATTTTTACTATATTTAGTTGCAGGCTGGATTTTACATCCCCAATTAAAATTGTATGAGGTCTGGTTAAGCACAAGCTTAATATCTCAGTAAACTAAAAACAGAACTGATGGAACTATACTGCTTGATATATGTAGGGCTAAGGGGCTGTATCAACAGCTGGCACACTCTCCTTGTATAAAAGATTGACTCCTCCTAATGTTTTCTATTTAAGTAGAAGGGCACACATAGAGGTAAAATGCACTAGAAGAACAGGCAGGGGAGCTGGGTAAAGCTGGGTAGATGCCACTTCTACATTCTTGACTACTACATGGTCAAGCAGATAGATTCTTATGTGCCTTCAGTGCTGTGAGACTGAAGATGTTATCCACCTCACAGCTTATTTAAACAGTTGGGCACATAAGTGCCCAATAAATGCAATCATGAACATGGACCTGTTTGAAGAATAAATTTTTATCCCTATCCCTATGCATTGGGAAAAGATGAAAGACATAATTTTAAGGGAGAGGAGGAAAAATCACAATGTCATGTTAGTATTCATCACAGAGGTAAGGATATTTTGCCTCAGATTCACTGGAACCAGAAGATCCTGTATTATTAAGAAATAAATCATAAAGAGAACCTATGTCACTTCTAGTGCTTCCAAGTGTACTGTGGAAGATAGCTGTATTGCAGTTTGACCTCAAGAGCATTTAAACAAAGAACAGATGTGAATTTAAAGGTTTTTTCCCTTTCTAATGCAAACTGAGGATGCCTGTTTTCTTTGGGAAGTTGATTTACCCAACATCTTTGCCTTTCTTCATTCCCAGCTTGCTCACTGAACAAGCTATAGAACTGAAGCCCTCAAGGACAGTCTTCACGCAGATGCTGCTTAGACACAATGATGCACTCCAGCCCCGGGCTCACAATTAAATGTTGTTGTTAGACTGTCTTAGACACACAGTTTTTAAGCTTGAAAGTGAATTTCTTATTTCAAATCTAGGTAAGTTTTAAATACTGTAGGCGTGTGAATATTGTCGCTAGGGTGAGCACCTCCCTTAGAACTATGCCAAGCTGGCCTCCCCTGGATCCTCAAGGCTGTCCTTGCATTTTGTGTCCAGGTAGGTCACTTGCCTCACCCTAGTCCTGGCACCACCAAAGGAGCATGGAAATAAATATGAGACACTAGTGTTTTAAGACTCGTGCTTAAGTGAAATGATTATAAATGTTCAAGTGATTTTATTATACATAAACTGGTGGCGGGGGGGGGAGAACAAAGGAAAAGCAGTGCTGAGCTCATGGCATGACCTGGGGTCGGGGGTGGGGGTCTCACCTCTGGCATGGAGCTGACTTCGTGCACCTGGCCGATGAGCTTACAGTAGGACTGAAAAAGCAGCAGCAGCTGGAAGTGTAGCTTATACAACCTCTGACACAGTTCCAATTGCTAAAGAGAGAATTTGTGTAGTAAGAAATAGTTACTAAGGATCATTCTTATATAGTTAGTGAAATCTTAGTGGAGACTAACATTTTTTCTTTTTAAAACAAGCGTAACTAGCTGTTACCATTCTAAATAACACAGAACAATAAAATCCAATCAATATCAGTGAGAAATTCACAGTATAATATAGAATAAAACAAATCCTGGAAGATTACTAAATAGAATTAGTAGCTATAAAGGGACTTGGTGAACTGCCAAATTTCCATTATATTTGTCTATTAGATTTAATATCTACAAATTACAGCTGTAGTTGTGTTATAGCTGTGGTTGTGTTAATTTTTATAAGCTATATGTCTTTTAAAACATTTCCTTTTTATTAAAAGTATATTTTAAAGGCACGACATTAAGTGGTTCTAGGTGTCAAATTTTATCAATCCAGGAGACACTCGAGAGAGTGTGACAATTCTGGCTGCCACTCAGGGTGCAGGCACAGATCTTAAAGTCTGTAAACACAGGAAAAGTCACGTGATTGTCTAAGGTTCTGTGCCAGTTTTACTGACAGTTTCTACTCAGCGCTCAATAGATACTTGTTGAATTAGATATAAAAAGGGCCCAGAGTGCTTACAAAAAGGAGAAATGATGAAAAGCATGCAAAGCTTTCTGTGGAAAGAATTTTTAAAAACTGTTCCTACAAAATGGGCCTTCAGCCCTATACACACCTCTGGAATTGAAAATGTTTTCATTATACAGCATACATGTACTGTAAAGTAAGGATAAACCATGAGTAATTCCAGCACCGATGATCATGACTGCTGTTTAAGCTGTATCTGCTTAATGGCCTCTAAACTTTGCCTGTTTAATCCCAAGAAAGGTTTAGCTCCTCAGTAGAGGACGGGATTCTGCCAGAGGAAAAGGACAGCTTTCACCAGATAGAACTGCAGGGCTCAGCAGTCACCAGTGAAAGTGGGTTAAATATGTGGCTTAAACCAACACTTCACCATTCAAATGTGGTTAAGTAAGGATAAACAGGGCCTTTCTTTTACTCTTAGTGTGTGTGTGAAAGTTGCTCAGCCCTGTCCAACTCTTTGTGACCCCATGGACTGTAGCCCACCAGGCTCCTCTGTCTGTAGGGATTCTCCAGGCAAGAATACTGGAGTGGGGTGCCATGCCCTCCTCCAGGGGATCTTCCCAACCCGGGAACTGACCCAGGTCTCCCGCCTTGCAGGTGGAGTCTTTATCATCTAAGCCACCAGGGAAGCTTAATAAGACTAAAAGAATGCAGAATTGAGAGCTGCTGAGGTGACTTAAAATTATTTTCCCCAGATCACTTTAAAGAGAGAAATGACAAGAATTAAAATTTAGGTTTTTAGGAAGAATATTCCATTAATGGTATTAACATACATTTGATCCTAATTTTTAAAAATGACTCCAATTCGTGCTAAGACCATGCTGGATGGATTTTTTTCTTTCTCCTCTCTCTCTGGCCCTTAGGGCAGGGGGAAATTCTACTTAGATTTATGTGATCTCTCAGTGCTTATGACAAGCCTAAGTTGAAAGAAGTAGCTATACTCACTCATTAATGCAAATTAGGTCTTTGGTTGTTTTAGTAACACATTTTACAATGATTTAAACTTTTGTTTGTGGAAACCTTTCAAAATCAGGTATTAAAGACAACTTCCAGAGACTCTCAGATAAAAAAAGTATCATCTAAAAACTGAATGTTACCTTTCACTAGTTAGGGTGAAACCCAGCTGTGAAAACCCTGACTTTTCTGTGTCCAATAATGGTAGTTATTACTAAAAATACCCCACCTAGTGCCTGAGAGTTATAGCAACATAAGTTTCTATTTGGGGAGGAAAGCAGCCTGGAATGCTAATAAAAACTACATGTCTTAGTCTACCAAATAAAAGAAAATGAAACAAAAAAGGGAAAAACATGCTAAGAGATATAATAGTCACAGTAAAAATAAGATTTGTTATGGGTCCATGCCTAAATGGACAAAGTATGAAAGAAAGTTAACTTACTGCAAGAGATTCCATTTGCTACACAGCAA